CTAGAGGGCGCCTTCCTGTTGTAGTGTATGACACACCTCTCCTTAGGCATAGTTATACTTATAAGTTAGCTGTAAGTCATTTTAAAGCAGTATTAAACCGATCGTCGACCAATTAACATCTTTTCATTTCCATCTCCTTGGTCCCCACATTACATGGCGACCCTGCCAGTGCTGCCTTAGGGCAGTGCTGTGCACATAATAAATTATAATGTGAATTTCGTGTAGTTTCGTGTGAAAAATGGAATAACTAAAGTCGGTCAATTATTTGAAATGCTGCGGTAAATACTACGATAAAGTTAATCAAGTGCGTTGGAGGAGACATTTTGATGGCAGCCGGGCGATGATGGTGCTTAAGGTTTTTGAAAATGAAGCTGAACTAATGGAATAAAGGCGAGTTATGCTGGGTGCCGGGCGTTGGTAGGAGTCCGATGTCGATGATGTTAGTGCTGGGCGCTGGGTGTTGTTGGAGCCGTGACGATTGTGGTTCCCGCCGGGAGTGTCATGCGTGTCAATGGATAAGGAGAAGACGCAGTTTCGAAAAACTCAATGGAGAAGACACGGCTATCCCATAGTATATATTTTTTTTCTTTTTCCCTTAATGGAATTTTATTAATTTAACCTTTACGTGGCCACGTTAAGTTACCTAGTATGTATGTAAGCTAGATTATTATATTACGGTAAATGAGAATGGACGGATCAATTCTATTTTCATTATTATGCTATATTATAGATGATCAAACGAACTTGCAAGTGAAGTTCNTGCCTAGAGAGGATACCATATTGCAAATTGAGCCATACTATTGAAATTTCAAAAAATATTTACACTTAATAATTATAAATATTTATAATTATTAAGTGTGATAGCTAAATATTTTGAATACCAATTAGTAAGATTTTATTTATATTTTTTTATTTCCATGCTGTTATTAATTATTAGTGATTTTGAATGCATTTTTTCTATATTTTATTAATATTACAAAGATAATAACTTCTAATGGTTTAGAGAAAGTTTAATACTATACTTATAAAGACTAAAGGGAGCATAATGACTGAATGACAACAATTTTTCGTTCAAAACGATTACGAAAAATTGTATATTATTTTTATTCCTCAAATCTACCAACTCACTAAATGGATGAGATCTGGCGTATCGACCCTACTTACTTTTACCTCATTATTCCTAAATAATGTCATTGAAGTCAAATAGACTATAAAAATAAAATTATCCGTGTAGGGTTTTGATCAAATAAAGAATGTTTTTCTTGATAAAACAACCAGTTTTATTGGGAATTCACAATCGTTCACAATTTGCACGCAAAGAGAAAAAACAGAGGCGCCACAGAGAGTAGCGGCCAGAAAAGGAACTACTTGGGATGCGTTCCATTTCTTTCACCCACCCCAGAACGCAATCCCATTCTAAATACACAAAACAAATGTTTATCTACTGTTGTACCCTTAGTTAATATATCAGACACATTTTCTTTACCTTTTACATAACAAAACTTTAAACTTAAACTGTTAACATGCTCTTTAAGAAAGTGAAATCGAATGTCTATACAGGGTGGAAACGATAAGTGATCTCACTCGATTATTTCTAAACTATACAAGATATCCAAAAACTGCTTACTGATCCTAAAAGTGCTTTATGAGCTCTATCCAACGGCACCAATAATAGGTTACATAATAAATTGGATCTATCTGAAAATTCAATGTTTCCAGCCTCCATACATTTAGTAAAACCTCATAATATTAATTCTATACAAGATATCCAAAAACTGGTAACTGATCCTGAAAGTGCTTCATGAGCTCTATCCAATGGTACTAATAATAAGTTATAAAATAAACTGGATCTATTCGAAAATTCAATGTTTTCAGCTTCCATACATTTAATACTGCCACAATCATAGCACTCATGTCTTGATAATATTATAGCAAGTAAAGCCTAAAACAAATGTTTTCCGTGAATAATTTTAAATAAGAATGCAATTCACGAATTAATTTTAAGTGTTTATTATTTAAAATAAAAAAATTAACACTTCTAATATTGTGTGGCTGGCATAGTGGCATACATTTAGTATGGAGGCTGAATACATTGAATTTTCGGATAGATCCAGTTAATTCTGTAACCTATTACTGATATCGTTTGAAAGAGCTCGTAAAGCACTTTCAGAATCAGTAATCAGTTTTTCGATATCTTGTGTAGTTTAGAAATAATCGAGTGAGATCACTTAACGTTTCCACCCTGTATGTTTGGATCGCGGTAGATAACAGTACCTCTAGTAGGAAAACTTTCGAGTTCGTTTCGTTGCGTATTCAAAGTGTCATCGAAAAATTTTGTATGAAAAATTAAACAGCGCCCCCTATATTATAGCCGCCCTAGGGGGCGCTGTTTAATTTTTCATACAAAATTTTTCGATGACACTTTGAATACGCAACGAAACGAACTCGAAAGTTTTTCCTACTAGAGGTACAGTCGTTAGCAGTAAGCTTGATGGCGCTTTGGTTGTCGCTGTAGATGAGCAGCGCGCGGTCGCGTCGCCCGCCCAGCTCTCCCTGCAGCTGCCGCAGCCACAGCGCCTCCTGCGCCGCCGCCGACATGGCCATGTACTCCGCCTCGGCCGTGGAGAGGGCCACGGTTTGTTGTTTGCGCGAGCCCCAAGAGATGGCGCCACCCTGCAAAAGAAAAATATAACCCGTGCAAGACCTTCGGTCCCGGGTGTCGCTTGCCCAGTCGGCGTCACAGTAGCCTGTGATTTCATCTTGACCATTCTTGGTATAAATTAGTTTGTAGTGTTTTGTGCCCTGNGATTAATTATTCATTCCATTACTCCATTAATCCTATTAATAACTTTACATACTGTGATTATTGCATCTTGAAGTTATTTATTTATTTATTTATTTATTTAAGGCTCACAAAACAAGTTACAGTCATATTCAGGCACAGATAATATTCCATAGATTAATCTAAACCGCAACTCTAAGCATGTGTGCACAGAATGAATTGAAAATCCCAACTAATATTACAAGCTTTTTATTACTTTCACATGTCTGGTTATAAATGCGAAAGTAAGTCTGTCTGTCTGTCTGTCTGTCTGTCTGTCTGTCTGTCTGTCTGTCTGTTACGCTTTCCCGCTTAAACCTCGCAACCGATTTTGATGAAATTTGGCATAGAGATAGTTTGAGTCCCGGGAAAGAACATAGGATAGTTTTTATCCCGGTTTTTGAAACAGGGACGCGTGCGATAAAGTTTTTCTGTGACAGACAAAATTCCACGCGGGCGAAGCCGCGGGCGGAAAGCTAGTGATGAAATAAAGAGGGTAAGTACTTAAGTAGTGTTAGTTTAACTTATTTTATGCTTAGTATTTAATGTTAATAAGTGTTATTAAAGTTTACAAAGGACAACTTGACTTTATATTCAGGATATCTCTCCTGAATTTGGACAGCTTAGAACAGAATATGTCCAAAGAAGAGTGTTCAGTGACAGTGTCATTATAAAGTCTGCACATTCTGGTTATAGGGTTGTAAAAAGAGGTATTGTTTTTGTAGACTTGGAGCGAAAATAATTTTTTGATAGGGTTTCGGGATTTGTTATGAATGTTAAAATTAAGAAGGGAAAGAAATTCAAAAAAAATCAAATTCAAAACGTTTATTTGCTAAAAACACAGTAATACAGGGTGACAATATTAAAATAGGATCATGTGTTTAGTCTGATCGCAGACGTGCAAAAATTATAGGATTCAATAATATAAATGTCAAATGATTAAAAAAATGTCAAAGTAAAATTTAATTAATAGTACCTATCAATGTCGCCAATTAAAATATTCCTTACAAAAATTATCAAATCAAATCATATTATTATATGGAGCATTCCACGCGAAGCGGGCAGGTAAAAAAAGTCGATGTTTCCGATTTCAGTAATATTTGAGTATGTTCTACCTATACATATTATTGATACGTGTAGGGTTTTGATCAAATAAAGAATGTTTTCTTGATAAAACAACCAGTTTTATTGGGAATTCACAATCGTTCACAATTTGCACGCAAAGAGAAAAATACAGAGGCGCCACAGAGAGTAGCGGCCAGAAAAGGAACTACTTGGGATGCGTTCCATTTCTATCACCCACCCCAGAACGCAATCCCATTCTAAATACACAAAACAAATGTTTATCTACTGTTGTACCCTTAGTTAATATATCAGACACATTTTCTTTACCTTTTACATAACAAAACTTTAAACTTAAACTGTTAACATGCTCTTTAAGAAAGTGAAATCGAATGTCTATATGTTTGGATCGCGGTAGATAACAGTCATTAGCAGTAAGCTTGATGGCGCTTTGGTTGTCGCTGTAGATGAGCAGCGCGCGGTCGCGTCGCCCGCCCAGCTCTCCCTGCAGCTGCCGCAGCCACAGNATAGCAACACCGCTGATGTTAAATTCATCCGAGATAAATATTGGAATGACAAAGTTTAACACCAAGAGAGTATTCAAAAATGTTGATTTCAAACAGTATTTCCACGTATATCGCTCATACAAAATATTTTTCGGATTCGAATCAAGTCAGTGGAAATCGACTCCGACTTTGTCGAATGGAACGTTAAAAAAATGACATTGACAGTTGCATAATAATAAAGTCGACGAAAAAATCTTACCGAAAAATATAATTTTATGAATGAAATTCATGATTATTTAGTTAATTTATTGCTTTATTTACTGTTCTGTTTGTATAGTGTAAATATAAAAAGTTTTCGTTATAAAATCGAGGAGTTTAAGATGTATGACATAGAAGTTGAAATAGGCAGAGTTTCTAAAGAAGATTTGGGACTTGTGACTTCTAATATTGATTATGAGTTACAGAACTATCATAGTAATCCACAGACAGCTAAAAATGTTTATGAGCCACAAGCAGCTGAGGATTTTTATGAACAAACTATTGCTGACCAATATTATGAAAAACAACTTAGAGAAATAACTTTTTCTGACCAAGTGTATGATGAATAACATATGCCTGACCAAAATTTTGATGAGAAACAACATATTGCTGGCCCAAGGTATGAGGATTGCGAGCAACAACATTATGAACAAGCTATTGTTGACCAAAATTATGAACAAGAATATAATGAACAAGTTATAGCTGACCATTACGAGCAAGAACGTAATGAACAAATTATAGCTGACCGAAATTACGTGCAAGATCATATTGACCAAGCTAGTGCTGCTCAATATGAAAAAGAATATGGTGAACAACCTGTTGCTGGCCAAAATTATGAACATGAATATGATGAACAAGTTATAGCTGACCAAAATTATGAGCAAGAACCAAATAAAAAACTTATTGCTGAAAATTATGAGCAACCAATTGATGGCCAATATTTTGAGCAAGAACATGCTGAACAAACTATTGCTGACCAAAATTCCGAGCAAGGACATATTGAACAAGCTAGTGTTGATCAATATGAGCAAGAATATGATGAACAACCTATTACTGAACAAAATTATGAACTAGAATATGTGGAAGAACCCAAAACTGACGAAAATTATGAGCAACAACCTATTGTAAACCAATATTATGAGCAAAAACACAATGAACCACCTATTGCTAACCAAAATTATGAACAAGAATATTATGATGTCCAACCTATTGTTGATCAAAACTATAAGCAAGTGTATGATAAACCACCAAAAGCTGACAGTTATGAAGAAGCACATAATGACCAACATGTTGGTGACCGTAATGAGCAAGAATATTATGAACAACCTATAGATGATGATAATTATGAGCAAGAATATATTGAACAACCAATTGCTGACCATTATGAGCGAGAATGTGATGAACAACCTTTTACTGACGAAAATTTTGAACAACAATCTATTCCTGATCAACATTATGAACAACCTGTTGCTGACTATTATGCAAAAGCATATGATAAACAACATATTGCTGACTATAATGAGCAAGAATATGATAAACTACCTATAGTTGATGAAAATTATGAGCAAGAATATATTGAACAAGCAATAGCTGACGATTATGAGCTAGATAATGATGAACAATCTATTGCTAACGAAAATTATGAACAACCAATCCCTGACCAATATTTTGAACAACCGGTTGCTGACTATTATGAAGAAATACAAGATGAACAGCCTATAGCTGACCAAAATGATAAACAACCTATGTCTGATCGAAATTACGAGCAACAACATATTGAACAAGCTAGTGCTGATCAATATGAACAAGAATATAATAAAAATTTTGAGCAACAACCAAATGAAAAACTTATTGCTGACCCAAATTACGAGCAGCATATTGTTGAACAAAATTATGAACAAGAATATGTTAAACAACCTATAACTGACGAAAATTATGAGCAACAGCCTATTGCAGACCAATATTATGAACAACAACATATTGCTGATCAAAACTATGAGCAAGTATACGAAGAACAATCTATAGCTGATGAAAGTTATGAGCAACAGCCTATTGCGGATCAATATTATGATCAACAACATAGTGAACAACCTGTAGCTGGCCAAAATTATGTACAAGAATATGATGAAGAACCTATAGTCGACCAAGATTATGATCAACAGTATAATAAACAACCTATTGCTGACCATTATCAGCTAGAATATAATGAACAACCCATTGCTGACGAAAATTATGAACAACAAACTATTCCTGATCAATATCATGCACAACCTGTTGCTGAATATTATGAGGAAGCAAATCATGAACATCCTATAGCTGACCAAAATGATGAAGAACCTATGTCTGACCGAAATTACGATCAACAACATGTTGACCAAGCTACTAATGATCAATATGAACAAGAATATGATGAGAAAATTGTTTCTGGTCAAGATTATGAGCCACAACATATTGTTGACCAAAATTATGAGCAAGAACATGTTAAACAACCTATTGCTGGCGAAAATTATAAGCAAGTTTATGATGAACAACCTTCGCCTGAACAATATTATGAGCAACAACCAAATGAACAACGTATTGATGACCAAGATTATGAGCAACATATTGTTGGCCAAAATTATGAACAAAAATATGTTGAGCAACCTGTAACTGATGAAAATTATGATGAACAGCCTACTGCGGACCAATTTTATGATCAACAACATAGTGAACAACCTGTAGCTGACCAAAATGATGTAGAAGAATGTGATGGACAATCTATTGCTGACCATTATGAAGAAGCACATATTGACCAACCTGTTGATGAATGTTATGTGCAAGAATATGATGAACAATCTACTGCTGACGAAAATTATGACCAACGAACTATTCCTGATCAATATAATGAACAACCAATTGCTGAATATTATGAGGAAGCACATGATGAACAGTCTATGGTTGACCAAAATGATGAAAAACCTATAACTGACCGAAATTACGAGCAACAACATGTTGACCAAGGTACTGCTGATCAATATGAACAAGAATATGATGAGAAACCTGTTTCTGACCAAGATTATGAGCCACAATATATTGTTGACCAAAATTATGAGCAAGAACATGTTAAACAACCTATTGCTGGCGAAAATTATAAGCAAGTTTATAATGAACAACCTTCGCCTGAACAATATTATGAGCAACAACCAAATGAACAATTTATTGATGATCAAGATTATGAGCAACATATTGTTGGCCAAAATTATGAACAAAAATATGTTGAGCAACCTGTAACTGACGAAAATTATGATGAACAGCCTACTGCGGACCAATTTTATGATCAACAACATAGTGAACAACCTGTAGCTGACCATTATGAAGAAGCACATAATGACCAACCTGTTGGTGACCGTTATGAGCAAGAATATGATGAACAACCTACTGATGACGAAAATTATGACCAACGAACTATTCCTGATCAATATAATGAACAACCAATTGCTGAATATTATGAGGAAGCACATAATGTACAACTTATAGCTGACCAAAATAATGAACAACCTGTTGCTGATCAAAATTATGAGCAAGTAAATGATGAACAAACTTTGCCTGACCAATATTATGACCAACAATCCAATGAACAGCCTATTTCTGAGCAAAATTATGAGCATCCTGTAGCTAACCAATATGAGGAATCACATCATAAACAGCCTAATACTGGACAAAATTATGAGGAACAACCTGTTGCTGACCAAAATTATAAGGAACAACCTATTGCTGACCAAAATTATAAGGAACAACCTATTGCTGACCAAAATTATAAAGAACAACATATTGCTGACCAAAATTGTAAAGAACAACCTATTGCTGAACAAAATTATGTGGAACTGCCTATTGCTGAACAAAATTATGAGGGACTGCCTATTGCTGAACAAAATTACGAGAAAGAACCTCTTGCTGAACAAAATAATAATGAACAACCTTTTTCTGTCCAACTACATAATGTGCAATCTGTTGCTGACCAAAATATGGAACAAACTATAGCTGACCAAAGTAATGATCCACAGCCAGCTACAAACAACACTGTGCTGACAACTGCTAACAAAGATTTTGTGAACTTCTCACTTGAAGAAAGCCAATTTATTCTTTTTACTGTACCATCAACGAATGACTCGATTTTGATGTAAGTAGCAAACTTTACCTCTTCATATGATTTATAATATTGGAAAAGATAACACATGCTTTTAGCTCTGTTGCCCTAGCTATAGTCCGGTCGTCGAGCACGTAGAATTTCGTCCAATGACCCCAAGCTACCCATCCTTATCGCTCGCGCGTAATTATATTGCTGTCGCGCGTAGCTTGGGGTCATTGGACGAAATTCTACGTGCTCGGCGACCGGGCTATAGAAGTCTTAACAAGCTATCATAGCTAAAGAGCTAAAATACAAAATCTTTAGCAGTCCCAGTTTTCATCAAAAGAAGATTCATGAATGATGCTTTAAAAGTTAAAAATGTCTCATATTTTCTAAGGTCACGGAATGTCTTGATATTTAATTTTTTTTAGGTATTAGTTTGTCATTGAAACTTTCTTAATTCTCATCAATTCAAATCTTAGACCACTATCTACTTACTGCTATGGTTCAATGTTTTTCTTTCATGAACTGTTACAGAAAATCAACGCCTGTAAAAGTGGTGTTGGTGCCAATTGCTGCAGTACCCAATAAAGCCCCAAACATTTTTACAGTCACAGCCCCAAAGAAAAGGAAGAGAAATCCAATACCACCTTTACTGAAATGTTCACAATGCACGTACACCACCACAAAAAAGGATTTCTTTGAACAGCACGAAGAATTCCATTGGGTCTGGAAAATAAATGATAAAAACAAAAGAGTATTCAAGTGTCCCTATTGCAGTTACTACACAACGAATATTCGAAGTTTGCGCTGTCATGTATCCATACATAAAAAATATAACGCTTACCGCTGCAAGGATTGCGCGTTCCGTGGCAAGAATTTGGGGGAAATTGCGAACCATTATAAGGAAACTGAAGAGCAGACGAGAAAGTGCAAGTATTGTCCGTTCTCGTCTCACAGTAAAGAACTGTTCCAAGCGCACAAAGACAATTTTCACAGCGAGGTGTGGTACGGTTGTGCTTTATGTGACTTTATTGCCGCAAAGAAGGTCTGTGTGTTTAAGCATTGGAAGAAACACCACTTCAAAGATCAGTGCCCTAAACTGAAGAGGTCGGTGCATTGATAATTTAATCGAGGCATGTAATGGACGATGTGCAACATGGTTTCTCTTTATGAAGTCCGGATCTTGACAGGTATTTTCTGAACATTCATCTATTTTTATGTCTATACTAGAGGCCGCCCGTGACTTCGTACGCGTGGATCCCGTTTTGCCCCCTTAGGGATGGACTTTCGTAAAATCCTTTCTTAGCGGATGCCTACATCATAATATCTACCTGATGCCAAATTTCAGCCCGATCCGTCCAATGGTTTGGGATGTGCGTTGATAGCTCGTATCTATGTCAGTCAGTCACCTTTGAGTTTTAATTTTGAATTTGTTTTTTGAATTTTGAGTTGCTCACTAAGACGGGATTTTGCAAAATTCAATCCCAAAGGGGTAAAACGGGATCCACGCGTACGAAGTCGCGGGCGGCTGCTAGTACCTATTTAAGATTTATAACATTCTGCTAACATAGGTACCTGGGTAAGTCACACTTTCACATTAACTGGAACCACGTATTTATTTGCTTGGGCGACTGTGAGGCTAGTGCGCACGGGTGACTTTTAGGGCTATATTTCACCGGGATACCATGGCGGCGCAACCAGTCGCCGACTACCAACAAAATGTATACAGCTCTATAGAGAGTCACTCACCTGGTGTCCGTTTGGTTTCGCAAAGCTGTATACATTTTGTTGGTAGCGGCGACTGGTTGCGAAATATAGCCCTTAGTCACCGCCACAGACTGAAAGTACCTATATCTTTCTCTTTTACACTTTTATAAAGAGAAAAGGAGAGATACTGTCACGGTGACACAGGTCAACCTTGCGCGCGCGCCATTTTGTTTTATTGCGCGCTCTCAATGGAGGGTAGTCGCAAACCGACATTTGGAAAAGCTAACGCGAATGTATAGTAAAATGTTGCAATAACTTTACATTTAATATGTTGTGTTGCAAGTTGCAAATAATCTGCTGGCGTAAAATTATCTTTCGGACCAAAAATGTTATGCTTAGTGGTGATAACTGTTTTATTTATAACTCGATTGAGTTAACTGCGCACCCGGCAGCCGTGACGTCACATCGACGCTCTGGTACGGACGGGACGAACGCGAGGAAGGTGCGAGGGAGAGTAGCGAAGTGCGCAGTTAACTTTATCGGGCTTTAAGTTTAAGTATTGAATATTTATTCTAGTCCGTAATATTGTAAATATTGTGATAGTATTTATTTACCTTTTGAGGTAGCCAATATCCAAAATATTTGCTGATAATTTTTACATATTGTAGGTATAAAGTCATTTTTAAGTATACAAATTAATATGCTCAATAAAAAATTATATTATTATCTGTCTTTTATTTTATTTCATACCCTTAGTTTATGAAAGTACGGAAGAATTGTAGGTATACCTAGGTAAAAACATCCTGTATATTTTATGAAAATTTTACAATTATGATTTAGTGGGGCTGCAGGTGATACTAATGCCCGTTTTTTCCGTCAATCCCTAATTTTTAAGTGACCCCTATGGTAACACATAACAGGAATTTAGTTTTCATAGGGGTCACTTAAAAATTAGGGATTGATGGTGAAACCGGGCATAAGAATTCCGTGGGCGTCCCCCAGGTACACCTAAAAATGGTTGTCGTTAGAAAAATAAAACAAAGATATAAAAAATGCAGTATATTTACAATATAGGTACTTGTACAAAATCGTCTCACACTTACGTTGGTACGGTCTACAGAATAGAGTATTTGATTCATAAGTAGGTATAGTCCGGTCGCCGAGCACGTAGAATTTCGTCCAATGACCCCAAGCTACCCATCCTTATCGCTCGCGCGTAATTATATTGCTGTCGCGACTGTGCGACGGGCGCCTGAAATGAGTGTGCGAGCGCGACAGCAACATAATTACGCCCGAGCGATAAGGATGTGTAGCTTGGGGTCATTGGACAAAACTCTACGTGCTCGGAGACCGGGCTTAGTTAGGGCACGTTTTTACTACAAAAGATTTAATACATGCTACGATATACAATATTTTCAAATACAGCTTCCTAATTATGTAATTATTCATCTATAACAATCTCTTTCTATTTATTAAAAAAAAGTATTTTATTTATAGGCCCCAGCAACTTTACTATCTAGCGCTTAACTCAGCCGCAGCAGATTTTGTGGCGTCAAACGTCAGCGAGACTTGTATCAGAGTAAATACAAATGAGTAGGTCACATCTTCATAGAAACGCACGGGCGCGGTTTGTATGTGAGCGCTCCAACATGTATGCGGCGCGCACGCACACACTGACAAAATTTAGCGGGGAGCCAGTCGTGGTTGCGCCGAATTTTGTCAGTGTGTGCGTGCGCGCCGCATACGTATTGGCGCGCTCACATACAAACCGCGCTCGGTGCGATTCTATGAAGATGACCTACTCATTTGTATTTACTCTGCTTGTATGCCCTGCCGTGTCGCTCTCATAGCTCAGGCACTGAGTGAGTTAATCGCTAGAACTATAGTAGTTGCTGGAGCCTCCCAAGCTTTTTAGCAAGTTTTATTTAAGTAGTTAGAAGTAAATAAAAGTGATTGTTATAGTTGTGAATTCAAGGATAAAGTATTAAACTAAGCTTGGAATATTTTGTTCGCTTACTTTAACAATTAAAATCTATTTCTATTTGAGAAAAGAAATTGTGAATTTTTTCTTGGTTTACAAAAATAGATTTATTGGTGAACTGAATTTGAGTTATATTAAAGCCTGGTCGCCGAGCACGCAGAATTTTGTCCAATGACCCCAAGCTACACATCCTTATCGCCTGCGTGTAATTATATTGCTGTTGCGCTCGCACACTCACTGCGGCCGCCCGTCGCACAGACGCGACAGCAATATAATTACGCGCGAGCGATAAGGATGGGTAGCTTGGGGTCATTGGACGAAATTCTACGTGCTCGGCGACCGGACTATAGATGTATATTCGATATACCGATTGAACCACTAAAGTTTACATTAAATACTACAATTTACACAAATGGCTAGTTTTGTTTACATATTTTGCCTCACTACAAAAATAAGTTTCATTGGAAAAATATGTATTTACGTTTAATTCTACGGTTAATACTATTATTGTGGATATAATAATATATAGGAGGTATTAATGACCCTATATAAAAACGGCCTATCGTCAGTCTTTGTAATACTAGGCACGATTTTATATGAACATATACGAACACAGTTGGATACAGCATAATGTTTTCGCATTCGTTTTTAACGGTAGTTGACACCAATTTGACATTCTTTTTAAGAGCTGTTTAACGCGACGTTCATAATTTTAGTTCGCTATACTATAGTAATCAGATTTTATAGCAAATTGAAAACTTACAAGTTTTCAGTGCTTTTTTAATGTGTTTCTGAAGGAGCTGTGTCTCTAACTCTCCAACTTGGTGTCAACTTCCTAATTAAAAAAATATTCATAAAAATCGCCAAGTATAAGCTTCTATGTAGTATTTAATTTAATTTAGTTCGCATAATGTAGTCCGGTAAGTAGAAGTAATAGCCAGTAAGCGGCTTTCCCTACCGCTGCAACTCCTGTGTAGCCAGGATCTACAGCTTGACCGCCAAAACCCAACCAGGGAAGGTCAAGTTTGTCCGGGGGAAAGTTAACTGTCATTGGACCCGCAAAGGATTTTATATACTACTTAAAAATCTTGATACTTGGCGACTCTTTACAGCTGCTTTTAGCTTGCTATAGATAGATTGCCCATAGCAGTTGTTCACATTATTACGCTGCATTTACGTGCATAAATATTAATTATAGATTGGTGTTTACGTTAGTAATTTACTACGTGTTAGAAATCTCATGATTTGCCTATTCTAAGTATACATTAGCTGCCTAATTATTTACAATTAACTTAAAACTACCCGCATTTAATAAATCACGTTCAACTGGGTAGACATTTTATTCGGAAATAATTTATAAAATTGCTCAAAATGAAGTCTTTTGGGTCAAGAAAATTAGTTTAAAAATCATTAAACGTTTAAGATGCTTTAGCAGTGACAATTTAGCTATTAATACCAATATTTAAGGTATTATTATGAATGGACATCCAGAACTACAAATACTACCATACCAAATTACTTATTCATGTGTTTTGATTTTGAACCTTACACTGAAGTCTCTACGTCCAGAATCAAAAAAACTCGTCGTTTCGTGGTAGGTACAGCTGGCCACTTTATTTTCATTGCAAAATAGACTCTATTACAATTAATATACAAGGTGCCTTGTTTATCACGAAGTGCTAATACTACCAAAACCGGTATAAATTATATTAAAATAGACCCAAAAGACTTAAAAATAAATAAAATACCAATCAAACGTGACGATAATATTGTGTTGGTGTGTTAAAATTTTAAGACTCCTTTGGAAGAACACTGATTTAACAATATTCACTTACCATCAGGTGAGATACAGGTCAAGAGCTTCCTCGTTGTGGATAAAAAAAAAAAAAAAAATTGGTTGAAATAAAAACTTATGGGACTCGAATGAGTAAAATAGCTAATGTTTTTAGACTTTTTGTGTAATTATTATAGTTTAAAAATCAATTTCACAGTAGATTACTATTCAAAAGATTATGATAATCGTGAAAATTGTCTTGCGGTAAAAAGAAAAGCGAAAATCTTTAAAATTGTAAATCAATCAAGAAATCATTTTTGGCCACTTCTAAGTCTTTAGATTGATTAAAAATAAAATAAAATCAGTAAGGAGATGTTAGATATGTCAATCATCATACCGATAAATAAATAAATCATTAAATAAAAAAAGATAATACTTTTGTGCCCAAATCGTGAATTATTGCAAGTGCTTCGAGTCCCAGAGAAAAACATGTCAAAAGGGAGTCCTAAAAATAAGTAAAACTAAACATAAAATATAATCGTAATACTGTTCGGATTTGGTTTCCATTGAACGGGCTAAATACTAGAGATGGCGGAGATCACTTGTGATTTTAACAGGTAGTTTAAAAATACTAGCGCTTTCACATTTAGGCGATTTAGCAGCGCGACAAACGCGCGTCAGACGCGCTGCCGAAAATTTCATACAATGTGACAGTGGATGCATGCCTTCACATTATAAAAACGCTGCTGTCGCGCTTTTAACGCCCTAATGTGAAAGCGCTCTTACTGCGATTTTATACCAGTGACATTGTAACATATTTGTTCAAGATAACTTATTATAAATATAATAATGATGAATACTATAATTATCAATTTTGAAACAGATACAATGGTGGCAATTCTTTTCTACGATATATAAAGGCAACGATCAGCCATTTTTGGCACTAGAGTACCTCCAGAATATTCTTCCACACTGAACACATACAGCTGCTATGCTAAGAAGCTGTTAACTGCGCACTTAGCTGCCGTGACGTCACATCACTGCTCTGTGGGCTGAGTGTGAGTTTACGTCAAACGTGGTCGTTAACTAGTGAGCGCGTTAAAAAAATGTATGAGAATTTTAGTTCTTGAACGTTTCCGATAAGGGCGCTGTACAATCCGGAATACACTTACAAGTCGCGTTCCAACGAAGTGCGCAGTTAGCTCGATGACAATTTATTACTACAGATCTCATTTATTCAATCACATTTAGTTTAAGTGTTAAGGCGAAAAGTTAAGGCAAATTGAACAACTTTAGACATTTATAACTAAGTTTTAAAGTGGAATACATCTAAAGGGATACAAAAGAATTGCCACAATTATTTAAACTCATATAAAAGTTAGCGCTCAGCACAGAAGATTATTTCGCAAAATTTACTATGTACTACTAGATAGGCTGTCTTGAACTGACATAATTTATCTGTAAGTTTGTGACACTCATCAATAACTGATTTATATCGATTTCCAGCTAGACTTGTAATTAACTCAATCAGTGCCTGAAGCATGGGTGCCGCTTCCATAGCTCTCAATTCATAAATTGGCTGTGAGACCGATAAAACGTTGATTTTTACTCGTTTTTTTTAACAGCTGATCTAGTAATCAAAGTAGTGTCTCAGNCTAGATAGGCTGTCTTGAACTGACATAATTTCTCTGTAAGTTTGTGACACTCATCAATAACTGATTTATATCGATTTCCAGCTAGACTTGTAATTAACTCAATCAGTGCCTGAAGCATGGGTGCCGCTCCCATAGCTTTCAATTCATAAATTGGCTGTGAGACCGATAAAACGTTGATTTTTACTCGTTTTTTTTAACAGCTGATCTAGTAATCAAAGTAGTGTCTCAGTGGGACGTCCACCCACAAGGTGGACCGACGGCATCATAAAGGTAGCAGGAAGGCGTTGGACGCAGGCCGCTACCAACCGGGCAGCATGGAAAGCATTGGGGGAGGCCTATGTTCAGCAGTGGACGTCCTGTGGCTGAGATGTTAATGATAATGATTTAGTAATACCACTTGGAAGTCAGAAGGAAGATTATTTGATTTATCATCTCAAAAAGCACATAGCTTGCTAGTTATTTAAGACACATAATAACCTAACATTTAAAGACACTAATAAAGCGTATGTCACCGAAATTTGAACCACAATATGTCTAGCGTTTAACTGAGTCTGTGCCTGAAGTTTTTATGATGTAAAACGTCAGCGAGACTTCAAATGTGCTTCAGATTTGTATACCGCCTCTGTGGTCTAGTGGTAAGACCACCAGCTTCAGACGCAGAGGTCCCGGGTTCGATTCCCAGTAGGGGCAGATTTTTCTGTTCGGTTTGGTTGGTGGTAGGGCATGTTCTAAGTCCGCCTGGCTAGCTACCACCATCTTACCTAAGTCTGTCGCCATAACAACAATGTTAACAGCATTGTTGTGTTCCGGCAGTTAGAGGTAAGATAGCCAGTTCCTCCGTGGTTGAGGATTCCGGGTGAAGCTCGCTTCCACCTTCGGCCTGATCGTCACTTACCATCAGGTGAGATACAGGCCAAGAGCTTCCTCGTTGTGGATAAAAAAAAACTCTGTTACGTCATAAGTCAATGTTACCTCTCCCATACCATACGCACTGACTCAATTAATCACTATACATATAAATTGCAATCTTCCATCCCTATAAGCATTAAAAATATACCTAGCTAGTAAATGCATTAAAATTCTTATAAAAATACTGGTATACGTCGTTTTGTACATGTGTTTGATTATAATATTTAACTTGTGATCTTGTCATGCATTGTGAATGTTTACATTTTTATTATTTCAAAGACTATGTCTTGGATTCTTCTAATGCTTAAATTATTGGAAAATGTTTAAGATTTGATGTCTATATTAGTCATGTCCACGTAAACTTGAAATATACAAAAAAAATCAGCCATAAATGTAAACAGACTGTCAACTATTGAATCAGACGTTTGTTACAAAATCTAACATTAAAGTAACTCATAAATTAATTAAAACGTATAAGAGTTACAACAAGATGCCACTGTATAGTTTTATATTTTATGATGTCGCCATACAATTTGAAATTGTAAATAAGGCAACTTAGATATCTATTTACATAGATAAAATAATTTGTTTACAGTTATGGCTCGAACGAAAATTTAGTTTTACATTTCAGTTTTTATTGAAATATTATGTTATTAATTAATGGAAAGCATTACATTTTTCAGGAATGTATTTATTTGTTATCCAATTAAAAAACTAAATTTTATTTTTCAAAATCTCGCAAAGAAAAAGGACGTCTTATAATTTTATTGATAAAATTAGACAATTTTATTTATTATTTTATTTATTATATTTTTCGAATTTGGCTCTCATTTATTATTATACAAACCATAAATTCAATTATCTGTGATATTTTATTATTTTGTGATGACTATATAAAAAAATGTGCTAACTACACTGGCCTTATGACTTCTATTTGTTCATATTTTTTATGCTATCAACACCGATGGTAAAGGCGAACTACAGTCTTTAGCAATTTGTTTTCAAACGTAGGCGCGTTCTAACGGAAAAGCGCTCATTCCCAGCTGCCACCACCAGGGGGAAAATGGGAATTTGTATATAAATTTGTCCCAGTCTCCCCCACTTCCGTCAAATAGGTGAACAAATAAATAAAACTGGATAGTTGTTGAGTATCGCGTTCATTTATAAGGACATTTATCAGCCCGGAAAGGGATCGTAACCGTATCAACTCGAGGCGATCAGTGTTCTTTGTATGAAACTCCATACTGCAACGCACACTCCGCACCGTAACGCAAACGATTTTAAAACGTCAAGGGGCAAAAATCTAAAACAACCCGTGTTGATAGTAGCGCCCTCATGTGAATATATGGCCCACCATACACGGACAACTTGAGCAGTTAGTCAGTGATCAACATACACGGACCACTCTTGTAGTCAAGAGTCAACCGCTTGAAGCTGCCAGTGATAGTTAGATATCTCGAACAGTTGGTATTAACTGCTCAACAAATCACAAACGCGCGCGCCGTGGAATGAAGAAAGTGGGCGGAGGTAACTGCGCGAGAGCTGTCGACAGCTCGAGCAGTCAGTGTATGGCTGGCGACTGCTTGACCGCACGATGAAAATTCACCGTGCTGTCGACCGCCCGAATCAGTTGCAACTGCTCGAGCGGTTCGTGTATGTGCGTCCATAGAACTCTGCAGTTCACTGTGCAGTCGCAGCTTGAAGCTGTCGACCCTGACTGCTTCAAGCGGTCCGTGTATTGCCTATGGTTGTCCAACGTGGCAAAAATCGGAACTAATAAACCAGTATTTCTGAAAATTTCATAGCTGGGACGGTTCAGTGTTGGACATCTTTATACGCCTCGCGGTTGACAGCGCACGAAAGGCGATGACAGCTCGCGAAAGGCGATACGGCGTTGATCCCTTTCCGAGTTGATAAGTCTGCAATGACGTATAGACGCTACTTTGTGTTATATTTTTTATTGTACCATAACCATGTATAATTATTTTTTCACAAGCGGGGGAGAGTGGGACATTTTTGTAAATTAATTCCCAGTTGCCACCCCCACGGGGGTAAATGGGAATAACCCCGGAAAAATTATAGCATAATTTTCAAATTATATTTTTATTTTTAATAACATTTAGGATGCAAGTCGATCGTTATGGCAATCATCAACTTTAGTGATCGGTGGTAAATATTTATTATTTAGTTATTTCCGCTAGAAGACCCTACGTTTTCGAGTACCTACATATACAGAATGTCTTTTATCTTACCATAGTCAAAATTTTATTCCCATGCATACATTTGAGTATAATTTAATTTCAAATGGACTTACAAATTAAATCAGTTAAAAATTACATCTTTTCCAATTAAAATCCAATCATAAAAATAACTTACAATCGATCAGCTAAAACTTACTATACAAAGATACCAATGCAAAAATACGGCAGTGGGTCTTACGCGTTTCGCACCACGACTGATTCGGACCGCGGTGTGACCTTTCGCGGTGTGAACCGCCCGTGAAATTTTTGTAATGGGTCAATTCGGACTGTAATATGCAAAAACAGTCCTTTTTACGGGACTACGCCAGAAGGAGGGTTATGTTTTTTGGAGTTCCATTAAGTATCTGACCGAATCGACCCACTACAAATTATCCTTTGACCATTCGCACCGCACATACGAAAAAACCCGTTCAATAATAACTGAGCGTTTCACACCGCGGTGCGAAACGCGTAAACACCCAGTGTTGCCAGTTTCACCGCTGGGAAAACTACTAAAACTACTATTACCTGGGTTTTTACTTTTAACTGTTTGGCATGGAGTCTCCCCAGGTACCAAACCAGTTGTAGTTGAACATCGCAGCGTAGGGATGTTTTCTCTTCTTGTGGAGGCGTAGGGATTCTTCTGAAGCGTACCAATATTGGGGGAACTTGTCGAATGGATATTTGACCGATTCTTTCACGTACGGCTCTGATGGGTCGTCTGGAAAGACCAAAATAAAGTAATAAATAAATTGGTGAATACAGGGTGGAATTTTGTAATGTCACCTGAAGGGAACGTACTCTTAATACGGTAGATATAGCCCGGTCTGTGTAATTATATTGCTGTCGCGACTGTGCGACGGGCGCCCGCAGTGAGTGTGCGAGCGCGACAGCAACATAATTACGCGCGAGCAATAAGGATGGTTAGCTTGGGGCCATTGGACGAGATTCTACGTGCTCGGCGACCAGACTATAGACAGCCCGGAAGTTTGAGACTCCACTGGAATCTGGTTTTCTTCAGGTAACCATCTGCGGGCTGTTTAAAGGTCTACCTACAGAGAATGTACTTACTTGGAGGCAGACAGTAGAGGCAGAATATTCTCCTGCGGCGTCCCTCGTGGGTCTCTAAATGTTTCTTGTGCTGCTTCCGCCGCGTGGACACGTGCGGGCAGCAAGGACACGGGATGGCCATGGCTGCTTGCGACCAGTGGGGACTGGGACCGCGGTGCTTGGTATGTGTATGAAGATGGAGGTCTAGCTACATTGGTCGCTATAGCAAGACGACCAGTGTAAGCTGAGACCCCAATTCTTAGCTACTGTGTGAAGACAGAGGTCCAGCTACATTGGTCGCTATAGCAAACGACCAGTGTAAGCTGAAACCCCGATATTTAGGTACTGTGTGAAAACAGAGGTCTAACTACATTGGTCACTATAGCAAGACGGCCAGTGGGGACTGGGACCGCGGTGCTTGGTGTGTGTATGAAGATGGAGGTCTAGCTACATTGGTCACTATAGCAAGACGACCTAACTTGCATTTAGACACTTCGTAGTCCAGAATAAGCTGATACCGCAATCCTTAGCTACTGTATGAAGACAGAGGTCCAGCTACATTTGACACCCTTACCAAAAGTTACCAAGCACCAACGTACGTAGTGATTTACGTTACCGATAGATGGCGTTGCGTGTAGATTGAATCGCGGTGTGTTAAAGCAGCGACAGCAATATAATTACGCGCGAGCGATAAGGATGGTTAGCTTGGGGTCATTGGACGAAGTTCTACCAGACCTCCGTCACTCGCCTATGCCGACCGAGATAATTACCTACAGCGCGTGACAACTTCAAGTTGCAAGTCAGTCAGGGCCGCCGCGAGCCTGTGAGCACACGCGTATTTCTATACACGCTCAGTCGATCATCGTCACAATCAAGGTTTATTGTTCGAACAGCACTGTTATCCTTTTTTAATGAAAAATCGTAATATTTAGGAATAATAAATAACTGAATAATTTAAATAATTAAAAAAACTACACTTTTTAAATAATTTTGAAATATTTAAGACAAAAAACTGTAGAAAAAAATTATTTTAGCTAACATTAACTTTACTTCACCGTGTCTACTAGTGTGCGACACTACACCTTTTAAAACTGTTTGTCCAATTTCGAATTATCGCTACACTGAAGTTTATTAATAAGTACTTTTGTTAACTTTAGAGATGGTACGATAATACAAACACCACTAGATTAAAATTTACCAATCGTAAATACAATAAATTATTTTACTTTGCTTATACAACCCTGACGCTTGAGCTGTGAGGTAGATCAATTCTGAACACAAAACAATTGCGCTCTTGTGAGCGTAGTAGTAAGGTGCGATTTCGAATGCATCATGTGCGTTGGATATTTTGCATTATTATTATTACCGTTAAAATGTCGGCATCTGATCCTACACAAAGGAGTGCAATTTCTGTTGCTACTATTATGTATTCTGTGGTTCTACGTGCTCGGCGACCAGACTATAGACAGCCCGGAAGTTTGAGACTCCACTGGAATCTGGTTTTCTTCAAGTTACCATCTGTGGACTTTTTGGGAGTTGCCTAAAATAGAAAGGTACTCAATCTACTCACTTGGAGGCAGACAGTAGAGGCAGAATATTCTCCTGCGGCGTCCCTCGTGGGTCTCTAAATGCTTCTTGTGCTGCTTCCGCCGTGTGGACACGTGCGGGCAGCAGGGACACGGGATGGCCATGGCTGCTTATGACCAGTGGGGACTGGGACCGCGGTGCTTGGTATGTGTATGAAGATGGAGGTCTAGCTAGATTGGTCACTATAGCAAGACGACCAGTGTAAGCTGAGACCCCAATTCTTAGCTAATGTGTGAAGACAGAGGTCCAGCTACATTGGTCGCTATAGCAAACGACCAGTGTAAGCTGAAACCCCGATATTTAGGTACTGTGTGTAGGGTTTTGATCAAATAAAGAATGTTTTCTTGATAAAACAACCAGTTTTATTGGGAATTCACAATCGTTCACAATTTGCACGCAAAGAGAAAAAACAGAGGCGCCACAGAGAGTAGCGGCCAGAAAAAGGAACTACTTGGGATGCGTTCCATTTCTATCACCCACCCCAGAACGCAATCCCATTCTAAATACACAAAACAAATGTTTATCTACTGTTGTCCCCTTAGTTAATATATCAGACACATTTTCTTTACCTTTTACATAACAAAACTTTAAACTTAAACTGTTAACATGCTCTTTAAGAAAGTGAAATCGAATGTCTATATGTTTGGATCGCGGTAGATAACAGTCGTTAGCAGTAAGCTTGATGGCGCTTTGGTTGTCGCTGTAGATGAGCAGCGCGCGGTCGCGTCGCCCGCCCAGCTCTCCCTGCAGCTGCCGCAGCCACAGCGCCTCCTGCGCCGCCGCCGACATGGCCATGTACTCGGCCTCGGCCGTGGAGAGGGCCACGGTTTGTTGTTTGCGCGAGCCCCAAGAGATGGCGCCACCCTGCAAAACAAAAATATAACCCGTGCAAGACCTTCGGTCCCGGGTGTCGCTTGCCCAGTCGGCGTCACAGTAGCCTGTGATTTCATCTTGACCATTCTTGGTATAAATTAGTTTGTAGTGTTTTGTGCCCTGTAGGTATCTCATTACTCTTTTTACAGCTGCCCAGTGTTCAGATTTAGGTTCCTTATTGTACCTACTGAGGGCATTCACAGCAAACGATATGTCTGGTCTCGTTCCCTGAGCGACATACAGCAAACAACCTATTGCATGCTGATAAGGACAATCATATGTAGCTTCATCATTGTTGTTGAATTTCAATCCAGCTTCTATAGGAGTTTTTACTGGTTTACTGTTAGTCATATTGAATCTTGATAATATTTCATTTATGTACTTCTCCTGATCTAACATTATTGTATCTCCATCTCTAGTTATGTTGAAGCCCACACATTGCTTTGCAGAACCCAAATCCTTCATATTCAATTTTGTACTTAGGTTTTTCTTCAGTTCTTCAGTATTTGCTGGCAGAGAGCTGAAGATTATTATGTCATCGACCCATACTGCAAGAAAAATTCCTCTATTGATGTCATAATAAACACAGGGATCAGTCTTTGATTGTTCTATTCCCATCTCTTTCAGCACTAGGCTCAGCTTAATGTTCCACAGCCTGCTCGCCTGTTTGAGACCATAGATAGACTTGAGTAAGTGGCATACCTGGTTTCCTTCATTGTACATCTCCGGTTGTAACATATATATGTCAGTGTCTATGTTTCCTTGTAAGAAAGCAGATACAGCATCCATCTGATGTATCTGTAAATTATGTTGTGCTGCTAGTGCAAACAAATATCTGATGGAAGCATACCTCACTACTGGAGAGTAGATTTCCTGGTAATCTATGCCTGGCTTCTGCGCATAACCTTTTATGACCAGTCTTGCCTTGTGTCTAATTATATTTCCTTGTTGATCAGTCTTTGTTTTGAATACCCATTTGCTTGACAATGCCTTTTTATCAGGTGGTAGGTCTACAAGCTCCCACGTGTGGTTTTCCATCAAAGATGCATACTCTTCATCCATTGCCTTTTTCCACTCACAAGAATGTGGGGATGATAAAGCTTCTTCTACATTTTGTGGATCAGAAACACTCGTATAAAGGCATAACAATCCCTTCTTGTCTTGGTGATCTTTATTACGTGGCCTCAGTGTGATGTTACTTGTTGGTTGTACCTGCTTCACAAACTGTCTCGGGGGTTGATAGCTGTCATCAAGGTCACCGGTGTCAGTTTCATATTCACTCGAGTCTTCGGCTCCACTCAAGATAGACCCAACAACTGATCCGCTGTCTTGAGGGTTGACAGGCTCCTCTGGTGAATTGCTCTGTTCAGAACTGACATGTTCCTCCGACTTGGCCAACACATCTTCAGTGGGATTAACTGAAATGGAACATTCATTAGTTTGATTCACATTTTCAAAGAAAACAACATCACGGCTCTTTGTGACCTGGTGAGTCTGTGGGTTCATAATGCGATAACCCTTAGTGTTTTCGCAGTAGCCCACGAAAATCATCTCGGTTGATTTTTTATCCCATTTTAAGCGTCGTTCCTTGGGTATGTGTACCATCACCTTTGAACCAAATATCCTCATGTGCTTAATTTGGGGTTCTTTTCCTGTCCACATTTGGTATGGTGTCACATCTCCTATAGCCTTAGTTGGCGATCTATTTATGATGTAAGCCGCGGTCGCCACAGCTTCAGCCCATATTGGTTTCTCTAGGTTAGCAAAAAACATCATACACCGAGCCTTCTCTACTATGGTCCTATTCATCCTCTCGGCAAGTCCATTTTGCTGAGGGGTGTAGGGGGTTGAGGTCTGGTGGGTAATCCCACAGCTAGCTAGGTACCTTTCAAATGTAGTGTTGCAATACTCTTTCCCATTATCGGTTCTTATGGCTTTAATTTTATAATCTAACTGATTTTCTACTTTCCTTTTGAAATCCTTGAAAACTTCCAACACATTTTGTTTATCTTTAAGGAAATAGATGTGAACCATTCTTGTGAAATCGTCTATGAAAGAAATGAAATATTTCATACCTCCATAAGATGCAACTTCCATCGGCCCGCACAGGTCCGAGTGTATCATCTCCAACGGCTTTGTTGTTCTGGTACCTACATGTTTGAAAGGCAACCTTGTCTGTTTCCCCTCATAGCAGGCAGTACACTGAATATCTTTCTGCGGATCCTGTGTTAGCACAACCCCCTCAGCACAGTCAGGCAATTTCTTCAGAGCTGAAACATTCAAATGGGCCATCCGAAGATGCCATAAATTAATATCATTTGATTTGTTACATACCAAGTTTGCAGTTTCATCATTTATGTGGGTATTCAAAACATATAATTTATCTGTCAAGGTGGCAGAGCACAGCAATTTCCCATTAGCATTTGTGATGTTACAACCTTTCTCATTGAATGACACCTTGAAACCATTCTTAGTAATTGTGCTCACTGACAACAGGTTAGCTGCTAATCCAGGTACATAAAGTACATTTTTCAACTGAATATTTCCATGTTGTGAAATATGTATACTGATATCTCCAACACATTCCACTGACAATGGTTCTCTATTAGCCACTGTGACAGTTTTCACTGATGAATCATGAATATTGTACATCCAATCTTTGTTACTGCACATATGCATCGAAGCTCCGGAGTCAATAAACCACTTTTCACTTCTTTTACCTGAAAAAGCTGAAAAGGCTGCAATAAATCCTTCCTGTTTATCACTCTCCTTGTTCACTGTTTTCTTTGGATTTTTGCAGAACTTAGCCAAGTGTCCAAAACCATTACAGTTGTAGCATCGGGGACCCTTGTACTTGTTTGGTGGCTTTGACTTGTTGAACTGTTTATTCTGATTCTGATTTTTCTTGGAATTAGAGTACAATGCACTGCTTGAACTTTCAGTTTTCACTTCTTGAAGCAACTTTGTTTTTATAAAGTCAGCACAGATTCTGGCACCTGAGTTCTCTAACCCCATTATCATGGGTTTGTAATCATCTGATAGACCGGCCAACATTAATGTGCCCAGCCATTCATCGTTCACTTCGAAACCTATACTTCTAAGTTTATGTGCAGCACTCATTATTCTACTCACATAGTCTTCTATTCCTGAGCTTGATTCAAGTGAGGTATTTATAAGTTCCTTCAACNCTCTTAATACGGTAGATATAGTCTGCGACTGTGCGACAGCAATATAATTATGCGCGAGCGATAAGGATGGGTAGCTTGGGGTCATTGGACGAAATTTTACGTGCTCGGCGACCAGACTATAGACAGCCCGGAATTTTGAAACTCCACTGGGATCTGGTTTTTTTCAGGTTACCATCTGGGGCTGTTTAAAGGTCTACCTACAGAGAATGTACTTACTTGGAGGCAGACAGTAGAGGCAGAATATCCTTCTAGCTATAAGCACTAGGTTATGGTCTACACTATGGTCACTGGTACTACACGTGGCCATAAGACACAAATTGCTACTTACTTGGAGGCAGACAGTAGAGGTAGAATATCCTCCAGAGAGGGATCAGAAACGACCATTATAAGCTGAAATCGCGCTCCTTAGTAACTATAGGCCGATGGAGGTCTATGATGATGGAGAATTTTGAGACCACTGGGATCTGGTTTTCTTCAGGTTACCCCCTGGGAAGGTTTTCTTCAGGTTACCATCTGGGGGCTGTTTAAAGGTCTACCTACAGAGAATGTACTAACTTGGAGGCAGACAGTAGAGGCAGAATATTCTCCTGCGGCGTCCCTCGTGGGTCTCTAAATGTTTCTTGTGCTGCTTCCGCCGCGTGGACACGTGCGGGCAGCAAGGACACGGGATGGCCATGTCTTTGGGCACGCAACCGTGGCGCTCTGCGGCGTGTGTGAGAAGAGTTGACACTACGCGGTAGCCCTGGTGAAAGGTGGTCTTTTAACTTCTATACAACTTTGAGGAGTAACACAAGATTTTAAACTTTCGCGTTCCATTTCAACTAAACAGAGAAACAGGAGGTTAAACTTAATCACTGGATGGAGTTACACAGTTCAAAAATCTTCTCCACTGAACGGCATTATCACACTAGGATAGTTCGAGAAGCGATTGAAATTAAGAAACATAAAAATTTCAATCGGGAGGACGGATTTAAATTGTCACCAGTGTGGAATCCGGTGATTAATAAATGCAAACAGCGAATTTTGCCGTCAAGTACGAATAAGGATACTGTGAGTGTTGTGTATCGTGGTAACATCACTAGTGGTAGTGTAACAAAATGACAATATGAGGGTAGTTGAAAATTTTCAAGCCCGCCCGAACGGACGACGCCGCGAGCCGCCAGTCTGCTTGTGACAACGGCTGCAGCATCGCAGCCGAAACGTCAAGCCGTGAGTACATAATGTAACTCATTAATAAACGTCGCGTTAAGACCCGTGTTTTACTATTTTATTTGAGGAGTAACGTTAGATTTCTGGCTGATAGATATCGCTTTCTTGTAATCTTTTGTAAAATCAGGTTAGCGGTATCGACGATAGATGGCGTTTTCTTGTAGTTTAGGCACGTTCGTGAGTAAAGTTGACACTACGCGGTAGCCCTGTGGTAGAAAGTGGTTTGAGGGGTGGCCGGTAGATGGCGTTATGTTATACTTTTGATAAGTGTAGAGTTCTGGCCAATAGATGGCGCTTTCATAAGAAGGTGCCATCTACTGGCCTAAACTATGAAGTTTAGGCAGTATTTGTGGAATCAGATTATAGGTATAACCGATAGATAACGTTTTCTTATGGTATAATAGACAGAAACTTCTTTATCTATATCTATATTTGAAATGTCACTGATAGATGACATTTCTTAATGGTTTGCCAGACTTATTTTTGAAATTAAGTTACATTTTTGGCCAATAGATGCCGCTTTTTAGTTACATCTTAGTGAAGAGCTTTATTACTTTGGCCGATAGATGTAGTTTCCATACAATTTTCCAGACTTTATTAAAATAATTTACAAGTTTGACCAATAGGTGACGCTTTTTTACTTTACACTGGGGGTCTCCAAACTTTGAAGCCTTGGGGCCATAATATTTTTTTAGTATGCTGCAAGGGCCATAACAATTTTAATTTTTCTGCCCACCTATGCAAACATAGGCTTAGACTTAAGCTGTCGCGGGCCGGATTGATGGCAGTGGCGGGCCGGATTATGACCCCTGCTTTAAACAGATTTAATAATAAAAAGAGTTTTCTTTCTCTGACCGATAGATGTCGTTGTCCCAAGAGTAACATAAACATGAAAATAACTTCTTTCCTTTTACCCATAGATGGCGTTGTCTAACCTTAAAACAGTGCTCGCATCTATACGGAAAGTTTTTCCACTTTTGGCCGATAGATGGCGCTTTTTGCTATAGACAGAAAATAAAGAGCTTTCTTCGGCCGATAGATGGCGTTATCAGTTTCATCATCACCATCATTTCAGCCATAGGACGTCCTTTACTGAACATAGGCCTCCCCCAAATGATTTCCACAATGGCCGGTTGGTAGCGGCCTGCATCCAGCGCCTTCCTCTACCTATATGAGGTCGTCGGTCCACCTTGTGGGTGGACATCCTACACTGCACTTTCCGGTACGTGCGCTTATCAGCCTACCAATCTTAAAACAGTGCTCGCATCTTAGAAACAGAAAGTTTTTCCACTTTTGGCCGATAGATGGCGCTTTTTGTAAAAGACAGAAAATAAAGAGATCTTCGGCTAATAGATGGCGTTGTCTACGGCGTCCCACAAGGTGGACCGACGACCTGATAAGGGTAGCAGGAAGGCGCTGGATGCAGGCCGCTACCAACCGTGCGATGTGGAAGTCATTGGGGGAGGCCTATGTTCAGCAGTGGACGTCCTGTGGCTGAAATGATGATGATGATGAGTAAAAGAGCTTTCAAACTTCGGCCGATGGTGTTTCTTATCTAGGTGTGAAATGAAGTCACGTATTTGACCGATAGATGGCGCTATTTTGCGCGACTGCGTCGGGCGGTCGTAGTGAGTGTGCGAGCGCGACAGCAATATAATTACACGCGAGCGATAAGGATGGGTAGCTTGGGGTCATTGGACGAAATTCTATCTGCTCGGCGACCGGACTTTACTAACCTTAAAACAGTGCTCGCATCTGTAGGGAAAGTTCTTCCACTTGGGATTCTTCTTGCGACTGAACACCATGCGGTAGGGCTCCGCCGGAAACCAGTCGGCCGGGTCCAACTGCATCTCCACCAGCTCGTGACCTGAGCAAGATCAAAATCAAAATCAAAATTATCTTTATTTGTTTAGGCTAATTAAATTAGTTCTTGCAAATCGTCAAATGCTCTTAAGGAGCCTATACATGTCTCATTCTTTTTTTGCCCTACCAGCGCTTCGAGACAAACATTTGGCAAGTGCTGAGAAGAAGCGCCGCAACAAACTCAGTCACCACTGTCTGCCGGTTTAAAATTATAAAAAAGTAGGAAGTTACATACATTCAGAAGCAAGTTACTTACCACGCGCTCCCGTTGATAGAAGGTGGCCTTTAAGACGCCCATCTAGCACGAGACCGCGTGGCAGTTTTGAATATATTTCTTTAGTGCCGTGCTAATTTCTAGGTTAATTGTTGCGTTTTGATACATATATTTTATGTCAGGTATATCTTTCCTTGACCAGTCCCNCTTTTATTTTTGAGGACCAACAAGTAACGATCAGATATAATTTTTACATCTCAATAATTTTTTGCGTAGTTCAAAAGAGATTAAAATATCGATCGATTTCATTTATTTTGTGTCTCAAAGAAAGAGGATCAATCATTAAAATAGATGACCATTTAGATTTTTTAATTGCCGTTTTTGCTAATTTAAAAAGATCATTTAAATACATGCCGTTTTTTATACCAGTAGGGTATAAGGTAGAGGAAGCGCTTAAGCTAATAAAAAAAACCGGCCAAGTGCGAGTCGGGCTCGCGCACAAAGGGTTCCGTAGCAGCAAATATAATAAACTTATTATGTCAATTTATACACCTGGTGAATGGAGCCTAAACTCTCCCGATATTTTGCCTTGTACTTTTATGTATGAATATTAATTTTATATATGNGGGAGTGTAACGACCCGCCAAGAGATAAGGATACTCAATAACTTTATTGCTTCCATTGGGTAAGGGTAAGGTTACTTGATTATTGTGTTTTGAGTTGTAAAAATGTCAAGATAACTCAAAGGTGACTGACTGACATAGTGATCTTTCAACGCACAGCCCAAACCACTGGACGGATCGGGCTGAAATTTGGCATGCAGGTAGATGTTATGACGGTCATCCAGACATCCGCTAAGAAAAGATTTTACGAAACTACACCCCTAAGGGGTAAAACGGAATCCACGCGTACGAAGTCGCGGGCGGTCGCTAGTTAAGTATGTAACTTCAAGAACAAAAACTTTTGCACGTCACATGCCACAGAATATGCCGGAAAAAATTGAATATTCTTGCAAATAAATAAAGTAAAATAGAGTTCACGCTGCCCAGACGGGTTGGAGAGGCCTGTGTGCCTACCATGAGTTTACGTTAGGTGAGCTCGCTAGCGAATACGTCAAAAAATTCTATGAAGATTTTTTTTTGAAAGTAGCCGCTAGGGGCGCTGCACAATATGTCATACATTTAAATGTCATTTTTTTACGCAGTCGCTAGCGAGCACACCTAACGTAAACTCATGGTAGGCACACTGTTGTCCCTTAGTTACCTCCTACGACATTGGTTCCCAAACTTATTCGAGACGCGCCCCCTTTCAACCATACAAAAAATTTGCCCCCCCTCCTCCAGTCAAGATTACTTAAAGGTCGTATCGAGCAGTCTGGGCATTCTCTCAGCGGTCGCAGGTTTTTATACTTAAGTACACAGATGGCCCACACCCCCTTTAAAGGTATTTATTTGCCTCATCAGGGTGACCCGCCTCCCACTTTGGGAACCAATGTCCTACGACGGCCCAGGAAGAGTACCGGTGGCTCAATACTCAGAAACTACTGGTCCGATTTGAAAAAATATTTTCGTGTTCGATAGCCCATTTACCGAGGAAGTCTTTAGGCTATATACCATCACCCTACAGCTGAAAGGGACGGAGCAGTAAAGAAAAAGCGTAACAAAAACGCGCGTAAAGTTTTTTTGTGACAGACTAAATTTCACGCGTACGAAATCGCGGGAACAGCTAGTTTATTATACACTAGCTTTTGCCCGCGGCTTCACCCGCGTGGAATTTTGTTTGTCACAGAAAAACTTTATCACGCGCGTCCCTGTTTCAAAAACCGGGCGTGAAAGCAAGACAGACAGACAGAGTTACTTTCACATTTATAATCCTACTAATATTATAAATGCGAAAGTTTGGATGTCTGGATGTTTGTTACTCTTTCACGCAAAAACTACTGAACGGATTTTGATGAAACTTTACAGTATTATTGTTTATAACCCAGAATAACATAATACATAGGCTATAATTTATGACGATCTGTGACAAACTAAATTTCACGCGGGTGATGCCGCGGGCAAAAGCTAGTATTAGTATTACTCATGCTGTTTGTTTCCGTAATAAAGAAAAAATAAAATAAAATAAATAGATAGTTTCCGTACATACCTTCAGGCACTTTAACCTGCGGCGGCGGCGGCGGCGGCGGCATGGAGACCGACGGGCCTGACGCCATGCTCATGGAACTATGGGACGCTGCTAGCAGGCTCGTGAGGATCTTATTGTGGGCCTGCAATGAGAAACAACTAATTATATCAAAACATTTATATTTGTGATTCATCATCATCATCATCATTTCAGCCATAGGACGTCCACTGCTGAACATAGGCCTCCCCCAATGCTTTCCACGTTGATCGATTGGTAGCAGCCTGCGCTTCCCTGCTACCTTCACGATGTCGTCAGTCAGTATTTGTGATTAAGTGTTTTTTTTTAGATTATTAGCAATTTATATTGCACATTTTTTTTTATGCATAACAAGGCAGATTTGACCACAATCGCACTTGATGTTAAGTGGGATGCAGTCTAGGATGGTACATATCTGCCCTGTAAGTGCCTATTCACTCTCGCCTTGAAAAGGCCCGGATTATACATGTATAAACTCATGCTGTTTGTTTCCTTAATAAAGAAAAATAAAAAAAAAAAATGATAGTCTTCGGGAAAGACAGCAGCAGGCAACAAATTCCAGTCCCTAGCTGTTCGCATTATAAAAGAGTCGTCGAAACGCTTAGTGCGAGCTGGTGGTTGTCGAAACATTACATAAATCACATATTATCATAAGTGCCACTAGTAGTGGTCTAAATTGAACAAAATATTTTTGATTTGATTTGATTTTTTTTTTATAAAGATTATTAGCAATTTGTATTGCACAAGTTACTAATAGTCCCGTTAGCCCCTCGTGTTGAGCTAAATAAGCTTGTGTTACGAGTGGGCTCACCACAATAGTCGAGCGACGGTGGGATTCGAACCCGCGTTCCTCGGATCTCGAGTCGGCCAGTCCGCCCCATTCACCGTTCGGCTATCGTGGCTATGATCGTGGATATTTTACGCTATAAACTTACTACTTACTTGTAGCAAAGCCGTATTCTGTAAAAGGGCGCTCGCATCAAACATAGGGCCCTTCGGTTTCCTCTTGTACCCTTTCGGAGGCCCTCTCTTCTTAGCCACCTCTCCATTCTTCTTATACCTGACCACTTCTCCCGATTCATTCTTACTTGGTGTCGTCACCGGAGTAATAGTCAATNTAGTCAACTTCGCTGGCAAAGAATACCTCGAGTGGAGATTCTTGACAATACTGTTACTGTTTTTTATTGCAGTGTTCGTTAGAGATAATGGATTGGCTAAGTTTAACGGATTGTTGACGAACTTTGGCAGCGTAGACGTTGGTGTGGAAGGGAATATAGATAAGGACTTTGGGGTGTTGAAAGCTGGGATTTGGTAGACTTGTAAGTCGAAGGATGAGTTGCCGAAGGCTTTGTGACGCTTGGCTGCTGGTTCTTCATCGCTGGACTCCGATTGTGTTGTGTTGCTGAGAGGGTCGTTCTCTGCGTTTGCGAAGGGATCAGAATGTTCGGCTTCTTGAACGCAAAACATCTGGAAAGTAAACATAGGTACTCTTTATTACTGACGAACATGAGTTTATTTTTGACTGGGATACAGAGCAAAAGCTGATTTTAGCCTTAGATATCTAAATAATTATCAAATCAACATTGATTGATAAATTTAAGACATTTCAATTTCACTCTATCAGCACCATTTGATTTAGTATCTATCAACGCACAGCCCAAACCACTGGACGGATCGGGCTGAAATTTGGCATGCAGGTAGATGTTATGACGTAGGCATCCGCTAAGAAAAGTATCCTTTTTGTTTATTGTTGTAGATTCTGTCCTATGATGGTTAAAAGTTTATACAACATTAAATAAAGCCTCAAATACAATTTATGTTTGTAACTGGAAAGAGTTCTGACTGAGCTTCATTCTGTAATACACTCCTATGCTTAGATAATGATGTTCTTTTTCTTTCATCTTCTTTTTATTGATGGCGATGAAAGATTATACATTTAGACTAAATATTATAAAATATAAATATTCATACCCTTAGATGACTTCTTCTTCTTCTTCTTTTATTGATGGCGATGAACTTGTGCTTTTTCGCCACTGTTCCGCCAATGTCACGTGCGCAGCTTTTACACAGTGATAGAATCAAATAAAATAAAATAAAAAAAAAAA